ACAGAGAAATGCGAAAGTGAAGAAAGCATAGTGCATTGAAGTTGCTAAAAGTAGTTCAGTGTGGCTAGAGCATGAACTATCTCTGAGTCTCAGAGGTAAGCCAGGACTCAGCAAGTAGCTTTTCCAACTCATGGTAATGACTCTGAGCTTTATCCAAAAGCCACAGACATTCAGTGTTAATTGGTCTGGAGTAGGATCCTGTACTGTATTTTTTAAAAGCCCTCCAGGTGCTTTTTTTTTTTTTAAGTTTATTTATTTATTTAAGTAAGCTCTATACCCAACATGGGGCTCAAACTCAGGACCCTGAGATCAAGAGTCGCATGCTCTACCAACTGAGCCAGCCAGGCGCCCCCTAAAAGTCCCCCAGGTGTTTTTAATGCGCAGTCAAGGTTGAGAATGACCAGCTTAGCACATGAAAAACATTTCAACAAATGTTTGCCAGTGATTTCAATCCTCATTTCCATCCCTGTCTTCTCTTCCGGGCCCCAGTGACCTCCTGAGCACGTCCTCCTACTTGAACTCAGTATGTCTGAAAGGAAACTCCATCTCCCAGCTCCCCTTGCAGGCCAATGAGGGATCCACGCCTTTCAATGGAACAGAGGTTCTGGGAGCTGGACCCAGGTTGGAGAACTACTATTCCCCTGTGGCCTAGAGCAGAGAGTAAAGGGTAACTGAAGAGAGTTTTGAGGCTCAAGGAGCTGAAGAATGAAGTCCAGTTGGGAGTCACAGAGTTGGATTGCAGGCAAAGAAGTGGGAAAATGGTTACAAGCGAAGGACTTTCAGCCTCATAACCTCATAGACACCTCCTAAGTACTCAATAAAAGCTTGGTGAAAGAAACAAATTAACTGAAGGAAGATTCTGGAAGCCTCAGTGTGCTAAGCCTGGCAGACTTTACATGAAAAAGCTAGTGGCATTTGCTCACAGCGGGAGTTCCCCCATTTTAGTGTGCAGAAGAATATTCTGGGGATTCTTCAGCCGTATTGGCTGCCTCCTATTCCTGGGTCACTCCAAGCAAAGTCCTTCCTTGGAGCTGTTGTAGCTTCTGTTCCCTCTGCCTGGAGCAACTCCCCCCCGCCCCCGCCCCAATATTCACACGATTACCCTTCAGGTCTTTACTCAAACTTCACCTTCATGCTTCCTACCCTCTTTCCTGGCTTTATTTTTCTCCCTAACACTTATTACTAACTAGTATGCTGTATATTTCACTTAAATATCTTGTCTATTTGGTGTTTCCCCATTAGCTGTAACATCCCTGCAAACAGGGATTCTGTCTGTTTTGTTCTCTCGCATATCCAGAGCCTAGAACAGTGACTGGCAGACAGTAGCCCCCAACCCCCACCCCAGGAGATGAATGAATAAGTAAAGCAGTTAAAATTGCAGCCTCTGTCCCCAGAGATTATAACCCAGCAGGCCTGGGTAAGGTCCAGGAACATAACATGGGTACCAGGTGACTCTAAAGGAGATGGCTGGAGGTCACACACCAAGAAACATTTCTTTTTTTTTTTTTTAAAGATTTTATTTATTTATTCATGATAGAGAGAGAGAGAGAAACAGAGGGAGAAGAAGGCTCCCAAGGAGCAGGGAACCTGATGCGGGACTCGATTCCAGGACCCTGGGATCATGACCTGAGCCGAAGGCAGATGTTTAACCATCTGAGCCACCCAGGCGCCCCCAAGAAACATTTCTTAGAGGGAAAAAAAAAAAACAAAACAAAACCCAAAAAACCCATGGTTTTGTCTGGACACAACTCCCTTGACAGAGTGGGGAGAGCTGGAGGCTGAGGACTTAGGGGCTCAGGATCCCGGCCATCTTTCCCCGTTTCTTTCCTGTGCTGAGACACGTCTCACATCTGGTGATTTGGCAGAGGGAAGCGAGTGTGTGCAGGAGGCAGGGAGGTGGGCGGCCAGCTCCTTGGAGGATGCCTCACTGTGACAGCCAAACTGCACTTCTGGGCAAAGCCCCAGGTGGAAGAAGTACAGTTCCCGCCGCAGGACAGGGCCTTCACGAAGCAGGAATCTGAGCTTGGCAGGGACAGAGCTGGTACCCCACAGAAGCACCACCCTTTCTGCCAAAATCCTGCTTGGACAGCCAGGTTCCCCAGTGCTGCTAAATGCTTAACAGCCAGCCTGGGGCAGGGGTGGGGGGTTAAGGGAATGCATGCATGTATATACAAACATGAGTTTATTATAAATGTTACCGATAAAAACAATGTGTATCACATGCTTTGCAAATAATAATAAAACATAAAATCCCTCCATTGAAAAGAACCCAGAGCCAATGGTTTCTTTTTTCAAATTCGATTGTGGTAAAAAAAACATTTAACATGAGATCTGCCCTCTCAACAAATTTTTAAGTGTACCATGCGACCTCATTATCTATAGGCACAATGCCATACAGCAGATTGCTAGAACATTTTTCATATTGCGTCAGTGGAATGTTATACCTGTTGATTAAGAACTCCCCAGTCCCCCTTCCCTCCAGCCTCTAGCAACCACAATGCTATTCTTTGCTTCTCTGAAGTTTGACTGTTGTAGATATCTCATATAAATGGAATCGTGCAGTCCTGGACTGGTTTATTTCACTTGGCATAATGTCCACCAGGTTCCTGTAACAGGATATAACAGGATTTATAGATTGCATTGTTACACAGAGCAGGATTTCCTTCTTTTTAAGGTTGAATGATACTCCACTGTATGTATATGCCACCTTTTCTTTGTCCATTCACCCAGTGATGGGCATTCAGGCTTTTTCCACATCTGGGTTATTGTGAACAGTGCTGGAATCAACACGGAAGTGTTAATATCTCTTCAAGCTCCTGATTTCACTTCTTTGGGATAAATACCAGAAATGGGACTGCTGAATCATATGGTGGTTCTATTTTTAATTTTTTGAGAAACGTCCATACTGTTTTCCACAGCAGCTGAACCATTTTACATTCCCAACCACACTGTACAAAGGTTGCAACTTTTCCACATCCTCACCAACATCTTTTGATTTTGATTTTTTTTTATAATAGCTGTCAGTGGATATCTCATTGTGGTCTTGCTTTGCATTTCCCTAATTATTAATGATGGTGAGCAATTTTTCATATGCCTACTGGCCATTTGTATGTCTTTGGGAAAAAATATCTGGTCAAGTCCTTCGTCCATGTTTAAATCAGGTTATTAGTTATTTTGTTCTTGAGTTGTAAGAGTTGCTTATATATTTGGGATATTAACCCCTTCTCAGATATAAGGTTTGCACATACCTTCTCCCATTCTGTAGGTTGCCTTTTCACACTGTTGATTGTTTTCTTTACTGTGCCCTTAATTCTTTGGGAATGCTTCTCTTGTACCTGTGGTCAGCCTGTGGTTACAATTCAATCCTGACGTCACAATACCGTGTGCTGTTCACAATGTAACCACTACAAACATGACAATACACTTTTTGTGTTTAACCTGCATTATTAAAATTTTTCTCTATCACCTTCTAAAGTCTAGACATTTAATCAACAAAACAATAAATCAACCTCTGATTTGAAGTGTCGGCTGATCTCCATGGTGCAAGTACTCCGCTGCAGCTGATTTCAAGCCACCAACATGATGTCACTGACTACAGAGTTGGCAGTTGCAAGCTGCTCAGTAGTACCCCATCTTACAATACTTCCACAATATTTATGTGAATATATGCTAAATAACATATAGTGTATATGTGTTATGGTATAAATATACACATAGAAGTGTGTATTCAAGAGCATGATAATAGAAAAATATAAAATTATCTGGAAGCAGGAAGCTTTGAGTGTTTATTACCTTTTAAAATATAATTCAGTCTGGGGCGCCTGAGTGGCTCAGTCGGTTAAGCATCTGGTTCTTGGTTTGGGCTCAGGTCATGATCTCATGGGTTGTGGGATTGAGCCCCACATGGGGCTCCTTGCTGAGCGTGGAGCCTGCTTTAGATTCTTTCTCCCTCCCCTTCTGCTCTTCCCTACTCTCTCTCTAAAATAAATAAATAAAATCTTAGAGACGCCTGGGTGCCTCAGTTGGTTAAGCATCTGCCTTCAGCTCAGGTCATGATCCCAGGGTCCTGGGATGGAGCCCTGCGGCGGGCTCCCCACTCAGCAGAGAGCCTGCTTCTCCCTCTCCTTCTGCTGCTCCCCCTGCTTGTGTTCTCTTTCTCTCTGTCAAATAAATAAATAAAATCTTTAAAAATAAAATAAAAGTAAAATAAATAAAATCTTAAATATATATATAAAGCAGTTAATCATAAGTTTATATAACTTAATTTTTTTTAAAGATTTTATTTATTTATTTGAGAGAGAGAATGAGAGAGAGAGAGCAGGAGAGGGGGGAGGGTCAGAGGGAGAAGCAGGCTCCCCGCCGAGCAGGGAGCCCGATGCGGGACTCGATCCCGGGACTCCAGGATCATGACCTGAGCCGAAGGCAGTCGCTCAACCAACTGAGCCACCCAGGCGCCCCTGGAGTTCTTTTTTTTTTTTTTTAAGATTTTATTTATTTGAGAGAGAGAATGAGATAGAGAGAGCATGAGAGGGGGGAGGGTCAGAGGGAGAAGCAGGCTCCCCGCCGAGCAGGGAGCCCGATGCGGGACTCGATCCCGGGACTCCATCCCGGGACTCCATCCCGGGACTCCATCCCAGGACTCCAGGATCATGACCTGAGCCGAAGGCAGTCGCTTAACCAACTGAGCCACCCAGGCGCCCCTGGAGTTCTTTTTTTTTTTTTTTAAGATTTTATTTATTTGAGAGAGAGAATGAGATAGAGAGAGCATGAGAGGGAGGAGGGTCAGAGGGAGAAGCAGGCTCCCCGCCGAGCAGGGAGCCCGATGCGGGACTCGATCCCGGGACTCGATCCCGGGACTCCAGGATCATGACCTGAGCCGAAGGCAGTCGCTCAACCAACTGAGCCACCCAGGCGCCCTATATAACTTAATTTTTAATAAAGGCTGTGTGTAACAGCCAGCTTGCAAAAATCCTGAAAATTTAACCATTTCCTCTTGTGAGCTGGTACAAGCAGTCAGCAGCACACCACTGGACAGATGTGGCACCGAAAAGGAACTCAGTCATACACTGGGAGGTACCAGGGCTCACTCACTTGCAGGACCAAGGTAGGCTCACTTTAAAGCAGGCTGGGAGGGGTGCTTGGCTGGCTCAACAGCTAGAGGGTTTGACTCTGGATCTCAGGGTTATAAGTGTGAGCCCCATGTTGAGTGTAGAGATTATTTTAAAATAAAATCTCTTTTAAAAAAAGAAGCAGGGGGCGCCTGGGTGGCTCAGTCGGTTAAGCGACTGCCTTCGGCTCAGGTCATGATCCCAGGGTCGTGGGATCGAGTCCCACATCGGGCTCCCTGCTCTGCAGGAAGCCTGCTTCTCCCTCTCCCACTCCCCCTGCTTCTGTTCCCTCTCTTGCTGTGTCTCTCTGTCAAATAAAAAAATAAAAATAAAAAAATAAAAAAAATAAGTATAGGTTATGTCTAGAAATACACGGACTGTAACAATAACGGTGGTTGCCTCTGTGGGGGGGTGGGAGGGGAGGCAGGAATCAGGAGTGGGAAGGAAATTTTCTTTTTCCCGTACACCCTTTTTACTGTTTTTTTTTACTGTTAGGGTTTTTTTTTAATATTCTATTTTTTTATTTAATATATTTTTTAGTATGTTATTTATTGAGAGAGGGCAAGGGGGAGAGGCAGAGGGAGAGGGAGAGAGAGAATCTCAAGCAGACGCGGCACTGAGACTGGAGCCCAATAGAGGGCTCGATCCCACGACCCTGAGATCATGACCTGAGCTGAAATCAAGAGTTGGTCGCCTTGGGGCGCCTGGGTGGCTCAGCTGTTAAGCGTCTGCCTTCGGCTCAGGTCATGATCCCAGGGTCCTGGGGTCAAACCCCGCATCGGGCTCCCTGCTCGGCGGGAGGCCTGCTTCTCCCTCTCCCACTCCCCCTGCTTGTGTTCCTGTTCTCGCTGTCTCTGTCTCTGTCAGATAAATAGATAAAATCTTTAAAAAAAAAAAAAAAGAAGCAGGTTGGGAAGCTAGTGTGCAACTTTGGGGTTTGGTAAATGCTGTGGTATTCAATAACCATATTCCTTTTATTGTATTTCTCACCCAGAGCTGGCCATTCCCAAGCCTAGAGAATGGCCATGGGGTTAGGGGCCCCAAGAGTGGGTTCAAACATCTATGGACAGAAAAGGAAGAAGGGGGATCTTATCTATAAGGGATGTGTTGTTTTCTTAGGGTGAAGAGGAAGGAAAACTCAATAAAATTATTGCATACCCAAGAGTGTTTTTAGGGACTTAAAAGGCCATTTTGTTCTAAAATTCAGGTTTTCTTAAGAGCATCTATTAAGAGATAAAATGGCTTCAGACTTTGGTATCTGGAGGTAAATGATTGCTCAGAATTTGAAAGAAGAACATCAGAAATTTGAGGATGAACAGAATCAGCTTGACAAAAGGGTTATAAACTTGCAGTCAAGACAGGAATGGTGGGAATGCAGGAAGAAAAAGGAAGAAGTCAAGGCACCTAGGTGGCTCAGTTGTTAAGCTCTGCTTTCGGCTAAGGTCATGATCCCAGGGTCCTGGGATGGAGCCCCACATCGAGGGGGTCCCTGCCCAGCGGGGAGTCTGCTTCTTCCTCTGCCTGCCATTCCCCCTATTTGTGCTCTCTCTCTCTCTCACTACCAAATAAATAAATAAAAATCTTTTTAAAAAAAAGAAGAAAGAAAAAGGAAGAAGCCACCTGCATCTACAGTGTTAGCCCTACCCTGGTACAAGAGAAAGGAACCACCTTACATAACCAAGTCCACTTGAAAAAGCATAGGAAGCACCCAAGGGGAATGGGGCTAGAACTTCAGAGGAAGCAGCATTAGGGTTCTGCTGCAGGAATAATGGTGGGCAAGAAAGAATACTTTTGATACTACCAAAATAGAGAAAGCTTACTGAAGATTTTACAAGTCAAAGAACACCCAAGGAGCCTTAGGTGAGGTTTATGTGGCAAGAAACTGAGGCCTCCGCCAACAGCCAGCACCAATTTACCAGCCGTGTGAGTGAGGGGAGCCATCTTAGAAGTGGATTCTCCAGCCCCACTCAAACTTTCAGATGACTACACCTCAGGCTGACACCTCAAAAGCAACCTCATGAGAGACTCCATGCCAGAATCACACAGTTCATCTACTCCTGAGCTCCTGACGCACAGACACTTTTTGAGATAATACATGTTTATTGTTATTTTAAAAAGCTAAGGAAAAGCAAGGATGGAGGACACACCGTTCTTTAGGGGCTCCTGAGGGCACAAGAGCTTTAGGCTGGAGAATTGTGGGGGGATGGGCGGAGTGTCTCCAGTTCGGACAACGTGGGAACAGGGAGGGGCCTTTGGAGCAGAATGCAAAGGCCCAGTGAATTTGAAAGTAGGAAACGGTGGCATCAGGTCTACCAGCAAGCCTGGAGAGAAGGAACAATCAAAGTAACACAAATTTAAGATGGGGGTTTGAAGGAAAGCAAAGCCAGCAAATTTTAAGGAAAAATTAACTTCCATAAATGCAAAGCATGTTAGTCATGAGACAGGGTGTAGAGCATGTTTCAAGTACCCCTCAAAGAGGTCAGTTACCTGTTTGGGAGATCATTTTCCTTTTATAGTCCTCGTTATCCTTTTATAGTATATTTGTCCCTGGTGAGTTTTATCTTTCTTTTTACTGTGCCCTGCTTCCCAACTGCCCCAATGTGGCCCTTCTGGCCAAACTGGTAGTTTAATGCCCTTAGCCCACATGATTGATTAACCTTTCTTTGTATATCTACAGATCATGCATTCTTTCCTAGAAAAAACAGAGCATTCCTGCACGTCAGGAAACAGAAACTAGACCCACTTGCTCAACCCCCAAGCACTTAGGAACCAGACCAATGCCCTTGAACAATGTCTGAGCACGAGATAACATCTACAGTTGACACCAGTCTGCACGTAATCCAGAAATGTTACAGACCATTGCACTGCCTTTATTCATTAACTGCCTTAAACCCCTTGAAAACTCCCTGGGCCAGGCAGAAACCCCAGAGTTGACCTTTGGATCATAGTCCACCTTCTCCTCAGGTGGCCAGCCTCCTGAATAAATAAAGGTTATCTTCCTTTCCAATCAAAATTCAACTCTTAAGTGCTGGCCTTTGAGTAAGAGGCCACAGAGCTTGGGGTTCAGTAACAGTAGCATGGGTCAGGTTCTGAGAGATTGTGTGAGTGAGTGGAGCGGTGCTTACCTTGTGAACTGCCAGGGAGAGCCATCCATTTCCAGGATCTCTCTGTGCTTTGGACCAGGGCAGGAACTGTGATAATCTTTTTTTTTTTTTTAAGATTTTATTTATTTATTTGAGAGAGCACAAGCAGGGGGGAGGGGCAGAGGGAGAGGGAGAAGCAGACTCCCCGCTGAGCAGGGAACCTGATGCGGGACTCCATCCCAGGACCCTGGGATCATGACCTGAGCCAAAGGCAGGCGCTTAACCGACTGAGCCACCCAGGTGCCCCTGTGATAATCTTATTTGTCTTGTCCATCCTCTCAATCTATGCTTGTATAACACGGTAATCAGCAGCCATAGTAGGTATTTAAATTGAAATTTAAATTAAATGTAATTTAAAATTCAGTTTCTTGGTCCCACTTAACTGCACTTTGCAGGCTCAATGGTACCTATGCTCAATGTTCTGTATTAGTGTTTCTCCACCCTTTTTTTCACTATTGCTTCTTCAAGATGACTTTTTAGACACTTTTTCCCATGGTTGCCAATCCCATGAAATTTTAATAACACAGATGTACTATATGTATATCTGTGCTTCAAACATAAAACCAGAAAGATTTCCCACCCCACCTCTAACTAGGAACCACTCTTTCCCCCCTGGGAGGCAGTATGGCCCCCATAGAGAGTGAATGCAAGATTAGGGTGAGGCACCTAAGGTTCAAAATTTAAGGAGGCAGGGCTCCTGGCTGGCTCAGCCAGTGGAGCATGTGACTTCACTCAGGGTTGTGAGTTTGAGCCCCCACTGGGTGTAGAGATTACTTAAAAATAAAATCTTTTTAAAAAATTTTATATATATATATATATACACACACATATATATTAAGGGGTGCCTGGGTGGTGCAGTCAGTTGAGCATCCAACTCTTGGTTTCAGCACAGGTCATGATCTCAAGGTCATGAGATCGAGCCCTGTGTCAGGCTCCACACTTAGCACAAAGTCTGCTTAAGGCTCTCTCTCCCTCTCATGCTGCCCCTCCCCCCTACATGCTCTCTCTCAAATTGAATAAATAAATCGTTAAGATATACACACATAGGGGCACCTGGGTGGCTCAGTTGGTTAAATGTCTGCCTTCGGCTCAGGTCATGATCCCAGCGTCCTGGGATTGAGCCCCACGTCAGGCTCCCTGCTCAGCAGGGAGTCTGCTTCTCTCTCTTCCTCTGCCCCTCTCCCCTGCTCGTTCTCTCTTTCTCTCAAATAAATAAATAAATAAAATCTAAAAAAAATACACACACACACACACACATATATATATATACACACACATATATATTTCTTTTTAATTTAAGGAGGCACTCACTCCCAGAATGGTGCAAGTGGAGAGTCAGCATCTGAAAGGAAGAGCCTCCTTAAATTTTGCCCCCTACCTGCCTCAGGTGCTTTATCCTATTTCTAGTCCCTGTAGGAACATTTCCATCATCACGGAATGTTCTATCAGATTAGAATTTTAGAAAGTTAGAACCAAGAGAAAGCTGGAATTGGAGAAAATCCATTTGGAAGAGCTAGAGTTTAGCCCATGAACATGTCCAGGACATAAGTGAGTGGTTCTTGACCCCGGCTGTCCATCGGAATCATCTGGTGAGCTTTAAATCTCCTGGTGCCTGGCCCTGCCGCAGGCCAGTGAATTCTGAATATCTAGGGATAGGGCTTGGCGATGGGGCTTTTTCAAGCTGGTAGGTGATTCTAATGTATAACCTGGGCCGAGACTCTCTGCTTTGAGTGCAGAAGAGTCCAAGTTCCAGCCAGTGAATAAATCTTGGGGAGATCCCGCTGGCCATATTTACACAGAAAAAGTAGAAAAGGAGCTCTAATTACTCTGTGGGAATAAGGGATTAAGTTGAT